AAAATTAAATTAATTAAAAAATAAAAAATACTTATTATAATAAAATAAATTAAACTAAATAACAATTAACCAATAAGTCACTTATTTAACAACAATTAACAATCAAATTTTTTAAATACCAACATATAAAATTTATTTCATTAACAACTATATAAATAAAATTTATTTAACACATACTTAATTATACTAACACTTAAATAATTATTTTAAAAAAATATTAAATTAATTAACAATACAAATAATTATAACCACAAAATTAAATAAACTAACTAACAATTAAGAAGTAAACAATTAACAACTAAATGAAATTTATTTAAAAAATAATTTATTAAACTAACCCTTAATTAATTATTTAAACACAAAATAAAATTAATTAAAAAATATTTATAATAATAAAATAATTTAAACTAAATAACATTAACCAACTAATCACTTATTTAACAACAATTAGCAACTAAATTTTTTAAATACCAACAAAAAAAAAACTTAATTTCTTTAAAAACTATATAAATCATAATTATTTAACACCTATTATTAAACTAACACTTTACAAATAATTTAAATAGTAAATTACATTAATTAACAACAACAACATTAAACAATTAAACTTACTAACAATTAACTAATAAATAATTAACAACAAACAATTAACAAAAAATTAAATTATTCAAAAAAAATAGAAAAACAAAATTAATGCATGAGTTACCAAATTAAGAGGAGCTGCTGCCAAGGTAGAAGGAGGAGGGGTTGTTGTCGTGTGTGGAGGAGCTCCTGGCGGCGTGTAGGAGCTCTTGTCGTCATGGAGAAGCTGCTGCCACGGAGAAGAAAAGTGAAAGGAGGAGGAGGAAAGGAGAGAAAGATGAAGAAAAGGAAGGAGGAGAGGGGAAAAGATGGAAGGGAAGAAGAAAAGAAGAGAAAGTAGGAGATTTAGAAAGAGTTGGAGTTGTTGCTTGGGGGAGAAATTTGGGAGGGAGAGAGATAGAAGGAGAGAAAGAAAATTTGGGAGGAAAAAAGAGATAATAGCGTATATCTAGGGATTTATGTTTCAATGATGGTTTTGGTCCCATCGCTAAAACCATCATTAAAAATAAAAAAAATTCAACATATGATTGTTTCCCCTCAACGATCGGAAAATTAGGAAGAGTTTTATTAAACCATCACTAATTCCCATGTTTTGTAATGGTTTTTCTTCGATAAATGCTTTTAAAAAATTCCTATTTTGGGGTGATTTAGCAAAGGTTCTACAAAACCATCACTAAAGTCCTTCGATAGTAAGGAATTTTAGCGACGGTTTAACAAAACCAACGCTAAAATTACTAAAATCGATAACGATTCACATAAATCATCACTAACAAAATTATCACAAATCGTCACTAATTTTAAAATTATTCATAACATTTGCAATGGTTCACCTAAACCGTCACAAAATTCAATCTTTCTTGATCAATTTAGCGACAATTTATTGAAACCGTCACTAAAGTCCATTGGTAATAAGGAATTTTACCAATAGTTTAGAAAAATCATTGCTAAAATTACTAAAATTAGTGATGATTCACATAAATCGTCACTAATTTCAAAATTATTCATAACATTTGCAATGGTTCACCTAAACCATCACAAAACTTGATCCATCTTAATTGATTTAACAATAGTTTATTGAACCATTGCTAATATTTGTTTGGAGAGCCTAGTTTACTATGGTTCTTTAAAAATCGACAAAAAAAAAATCCTTTTTTTTACTATGATTTTTAGACCATCGCAAATTTACCGTCGTGAATTTTTTTTTTAACTATAAAGGTTGAAGGCTCTAAATGATTTAGCTTGCATCTTCTTACTGAATCCTTCAAGAGGAAGCATATTTAGTTGGATTAAGGGAAGGAAAATGGGCTTGACAATTTAGTTGGGAACCTAAATCATCAAGGAATTGATGATGCAAAACACAAAGTTAAGTATTTTTCAACCTAGAATGCTTAACACTAGAGAACGGTCCAAAACTTTCATCAAGGTAGAATTATTCATGATCATCTAGGCCAATAGTTTGTTTTTTAAGACGAGTCAAACTTTGGCTTGTTTTTAGGTTATCTTCAATTGATTTAGGTCACCTAAACCAAGGTTTGATTGTATAAACGACTCGTACTTCTTTAGGATTCTATATTTAATTTGGATCAAAAAAGTTAGTCCTTATTAAGTGTGGATTGGACTTAGTTTTCTAGTAGAATTAGAGTAAATTTTTATAGTCCACATTAGAGAAATTTTCTTTAGTCTTAGCCAAATATTTGAGTCAATATTTAATGCATCTTATCTCATATAGAGAAACACATTTTTTTCTTTTTTATTTTTTATGAATAAAAATACAAAGTAAGTTTCTCTCAATTTATCTTACGTATTCTTGTATTTTTGTTTAGGATTCGTATATGTTATCCTTGTGTTTACTTACAATTTTGTGAATGTTGTATCCTTAAACTTAATAACTCAAGGTGGTGCTTATTTTGATTTAAAAATTAGCTTAGATTATAATGGTGTTTTGAATCTTGCCAAAATCAATCAAAACTAGGGTGTTTGGTGCTTGAGAAGTTTCAGCCTTGCGTAACTTAGGGCTAGAATATCGGGATTCATCAACTTGTGTGAGTTCAAGGCCTTAACTTCTTGATCCTTGAAGGGATAATTTTGGCTAGCATCATACTAAAAGAGTTGGATTATTCGGTTTAGTCTAAATTACCACAAAACTAGTGTCAAACACATAAAGTTAATAATAATAATAATAATAAATTAGACATGCAAGGACTACATATCATATGAAGATGACTGGAAAAACAAAAAGCCAAAAAACAAACAAACAAACAAAACAAAACAAAAAAACACAATTGGTCTCCATAAGATTCTTGGCCTATTATTTGTATTGAGCTATTTTATTTTTCTCACCATAAAAAAATGTTATCCAATTGTCAACTCCATTGTTGATCAAACGTTTCTTAAAGATTTTTTATATGAAAAATAAAATAATATTACATAGTATGTCAATACTCATAACCCTTATTTTAAATAACAATAAAAAAATAAACTAAAAATAAAAATAGAAGTAGAATAAGATCTCAAAATATCACATACTTCTTACCTTATTAGATTAGATTTTAGACACACACAAGCAAAGAAATCATATTCAGAAACTTATTAAATATGTTAAATAAAATCAAGGATTTCAAATTCAATTACTTTGAATTAGCCCAAGATCAAGTAACTTGAGTTTAATAAATAATATAAATAGTATACTAATCACATAATTAATATTTTCATAACATTAATCATCAAAACAATCATGCAACATACAAAACTCAGATAAAAATTAAATCAAGAATTTAAAACTTAGGGGTTTAAATAGCACAATTAGAAATTTGGGGACCAAAATGGAGAAAAAGATGCAAAAAAGAAGAACAAACCTAGTGCGTGGGATCGAGTGGTGGTGGCGTTGTCTTTCTCGTACATGGGGAGTCTCTCGTTGTCGAAATTGGTTCATTTTGGCAAGGCTAACTTCGTCTTCTCATCCCAATTCCATCACCTCGAACATGTTAAATGTGGAAGTCTAGGCGAGAAGCAGTGATGTAGTTTCCTCTGTCCTTATTCTATCTTGTTTTTTCTCTTTTCTCTCTCTTTTTTTATGACTAGTGTTTTTAGCCGTATGTCAGTATATGTGTATTTGTGTTCAAAGTAAAAAGTATTTATAATGCTACCTAGGTGAGTTTAGGAATTTTCTTTTTTTAACTTTTTTTTTTTTTTTTTGCTGATTTTAGTTGGGCTTGGGTAACTAAGTGCGCGGCCTACGAGTGCCTTGCTGGCTTAACCCCACTTCATCATTTTTTTTTTTTGTAGGATAACAATGGGGTGATGAAAAATATCGTTATTAAAATTTTTTTAAAAAATAGAATTTGTGATTATAGTTAGAAATTATAGTATTATTTGAAGATTAAGAGAAATTAACATTTGCAATTAAAGCTACTATTGAACTCAAGAGTGAGCAATTTTCAAGAGAAAAAAGTCAAAACTTCAAGGACTAGTCTTCTTCCATACAAAAAGTTTGATATAGGGATATTCTTATTTCTAGTTTTGGTATTTTATTATTATTTGTTAGGAGGCATTTACATTTGGATTTTTTTTTCCTATTTGGATTCTTTATACATTTAGAGTTCTTTTCGTGCTAAGAGTTTAGTTTAACATCTTATTAGGTTGTAAGGTTATTTAATTCTTTTTTCTATTTATTTTAGCTATATTTAGAGAAGTTTTAAGGTTTTGGTTACTAGGTTTTAAAAGCCTTCTTTTTATTTCTTTTGTAACAAATCAGAATAATAATATTGTTGAATACAATTTTTGTGAATTTTCTCTTTAACCCTTATGTTAACTCTTGTTATATCTTAGAGTTTCTTTTTCTTTTTTCTTTTCTTTTTTTTTTTTTTTTGGCATACTTGGATGGTTCTAAGGTGGTGATGTTGATTAATATTAGTTTAAGTTGTAATGAGGTTTTAAACCTCGTCAAAATCGACTAAAGCTAGGGTTTGTGGGAACAAGTATTGATTTAAGGTTTTATTATAATGGATTGATCGTTTGTCTTCATAAATCTATTAACAATTTTAAAATAAAAAAATAAAAAAAAATAAAAGGTCATGGTGTTACCCTCAACTTTATTAATAAACGAAAAAAAAAAATTAAAAACCCCACATTACAAAAAAGAAAAAAAAAAACATAGGAGACAATACCAAAATGCCACATACACTTAAGCATTGAATTAAGAGACTAAGAAAATAGCTATTACATTATAACCCTAAAGCTAGCATACTAATGGGATAAACCCTACAAGAAGCGGTTGAAAGAGGCAACAACAAAACCTTGGAAAACCAAGCTTGAGCCAAGCATGCTAAGTTGCTCACTCAAAATTCTTCTAATCCCAAATTGTACTCACACCAGGCTGATTTGCAACTCCGTGGGAGATCATTAGCTGAATGGTAAATCTAAATAGAACAATGACCGTAGGCATGATCAGCCAGGTGATTTGCTAAAGAATTTCCTTCTCGAAGCACATGAACTATATTGATTCCCTGTAAAAGTGCCTTACATTTTCTAATCAAGTAGGAGATCGACCAGGGGCATTGAAAGGAGTTTTTAACCACCTCGACAATCAATCGCGAATCCAGCTCAACTATGTCAATTACCAAATTCAACTCCGAACAGAGCTGAAGACCCTGAAAAAGAGCTGAAGCCTTCCCCACGTTATTGGACCCCTATTCATAGAAACCTGAGAAGGCCAATATCAAATCACCTTTCCAGTTACACACCACTCAACCCCGACGCAAAAAAAAAAAAAAAAAAAAAAAGGCCCCTAACAGAGCCATCCGTGTTCAGTTTTAGGTGAGCAACGTCTAGGGGTATCCATCTAATCCATCTTCCTAGACATAACATTACTCAACAGAAAGGTATGCCATTACCCGACACAAATCTAGTACCAATTAAAAATGTATTAAAGGTTCGTACAATATTTTGGTAGGATGTCCCATTGTCTATGAAAACGACAAACTTAGGGTCAACTTTATCTTGGTTGGTTAGGAGCATCTGCACAAATGGGAGTTCGACAGCTTCATCCTTCGCCCTCTGGTCTGGAAGTGCATAGACCTTGTTCAGTAATGTAAGGAAAAGGTGAAGGAGAGGTTGACATCCCAAGGGGCCTCACATCTTTGCTTATTGTTGGGGTAATTATTTTTTCTATGCATGTTATTGATAGAAACAACTCTTTTACCAAATATGGAAGGAGAGAGATTGTTAGCGTTATTTTTTAAAAGGACAATAGAGTTGTTAGTTCTTCTCCCAACCTCAACCATAAAGAGGAGATCTCAAAATTTCCAAATAAACATGAGACTTTCAATATGTCCCTTAGATGCACACCTTCATAGCTTCTTTCTCGTCAAAGTCTTTTTGGATGTCTAGGGAGTGTTTCTTAAAATGCTGAATATAATAAAGCAACTTTGAAACCATGGTGCTCTCTATCCAAATCAGACATAATTATCTGATAGAAAAGAATCACAGGATCCTGAACCGATCTTACTTGAGATGGAAAATCTCAAGTTTATCTATAAAGAGTAGATCCACTGTGAATCTTAATTAGATTTAGACATGATATACTTTCGAGGAATGATCGGGAATGGCCCATTCCTCGAAAAACCCTCTCTAGAGTATAGAAAAAAAATTAGCAAAGAGGTTTGATATAAGGCCTCATGACCTTGTGAAACTAGGAAAAAGATTGACATACCAAATGTATGCCTCTTTAGTTAGGTACTTAGAGAACTCTAAGAACTTTAAATCTTCATCCAAGCCATACACTCTTAGGGTCAATAAATTTCATTACATGCTCTTTGTCGTCCCTTTGCTTACCATTAAAGGTTCTGAATTTGTTGCTTGGATAAGGCTTTAGAGTAATACTTCTAGGGTAAGGATGCTTGAGAACAAGTGAAATACAGGAGGCTTTTTTTGCCCTTGCTTAAAGAATTTCTCTAGGTCTTCTATAGGCACTAAGGGGAGCAAATAGGTATGGTCATGTCGGGTGTTGCGAATAGAGCCCCCCTGAGTAACGATGACGGATGGAATTGAGTGTTTGGCCAGTAGGGGTAGGTGTACCTTGTGACTTGTACAGGTGCCGAATATATGATGGTTCCATTACACGGGTTAGGTGGATAAAGGGGGTTCTTTATCGATGTCAATAGAGGTTACATCATCGGCGTTTTCATCATTGGTGATAGGGGTATTCTCTTTTAGTAAGACTTGATTAATCTCTTGTTGCGCAGGAGAGCAGTTGATGGAGGACGAAATGAGTAAGGGTGGTGAGCGCTTAGGCAAGCTAGATTGACTTTGTTTTGTTGGGAACTTGATTGCTTGAAAGGTTTTTAGGATGTCAGCAATTGTGAAGGGCTAACTAGTTGGTTGAGATACCATTTGAGTAGGGGCAATCCCAAGTCGAGAGGAGTTGTTATCGGTAGGGATAACGGTAGTGGTGTTATTGTTACAAGTCTTTTTAAGAGTCTCCCATTGTTTCACGATTGCTAGGCTCTTGAGTGATTGAGACCTTTGGTTGAGTTCTATTCTTAGCAATCTTACTTGGAAGCATCATTACACGCAAGCACTCTTCTCTAATGGAGTCGCTAAATATAGATACAGGGTTTCTTTAAAGGGATTAGGAGATGAGGTAGTATTGCATATTAACAATGCCTTGATAGGGATAGGTTCTATAGGGAGAGGCTTGCTAGTAAGAATAGGCAATCTTAATGAAAGAGTGTTGTGGTAGGTAGACGGGTGTGAAAATATAATAAAAAAGATGATGATCGTGTGCTAGTACCAAAAAGGAGTATTTTCCAAAGATGTCGGGAACACCACAAGTTAAGGTGATGTGGTGAGAGAAAATGTGAGGCTAGAGAGAGAAGCTAAAAAAAAATAGATGGTTAAAAGTTCCAAATGAGGTTGTGAACGGAAATTTATAGGTATCCATTGTGATTTTTTACGGTTAAAATTGCGCTAAATGTCCAGTGTATGAAAGACTAGATAGGTGCTATGTGTCCAGAAGTGATACATGAATAGCATCCTCATATTTTTTGAGAAAGATTGAGGTTGAACAAAAACTACCCGCAATTAACCATACTCCGAGCCCCAAAGCCAAATCTTTCCAAGCATCCCATATGATTCAATGACAAACCATACTCCGAGTCCCAAAGCCAAATCTCTGTCAGTTGATTCGTATGAATGCCTAACTAGGTAGATTTATATAGCTTTTATCTGAAAAATAACTTAAATTAAAAGGTTAATGTAAACATGTAAGAAAAGATGCAAGTACGAATGACGTCCAAGGAAAAATCATCCGTATCTACAGCTTTATTTGAAGGGGTTAATTCTAATCGAATCTAAATATGCAACTGATTAATTTGTCAATAATCTACATAAGCTAAATTGTTGCAATAATTTCTCAATTGGCTAAGCAATCATATATCGTACTACCATAATTTACCTGATATTAAGCCACATTATGGTTTGACACCTATAGCGAAGGGGTGAAAGCAAGCCTGGAAAGGAGGCAATCCTTGAACCACGTGGCAATTAACGCCGCAAGAAAGCAAAGACTACATGCTAGCATGACGATTTACGTTGAAAGCTTATGGCTTGGCTTCATTGTCATCTCCAATGCCAACACCCACTAGGCAATGTCAAGTATATCAAGGAATTGAGGGAAGCTTGGATCGGCCCCCTAAATATTCCTCATTGCCAAGGCAGAATATAGACAATTGCTAGCACCAGCTTAACTCATGATGACAACATAAGCCATTAGAGGCTATGGTTAATGGGCACGCTGGCCTAGGGTCCACACTGACATAAACCAAAGAGATGGAAAGATCCTTAGTAGCAGATGGAAAAAACAATTTAATGGCTTCGAAACCATGATCCTGATCATCTTAAATATTTCTTCAAAGTCACGGTAATTGTTACCCTGATCGTGACAAGGAAATAAACAAACTGCTGCCCCTACTCTCAACAGCATACTTTGCTCCTTAATTCTCCAAAAAAATAATAAGCATACTTTGCTGCTTTAATTCTTGGCAAACAAGGATCATGATTCAAACTACTTATCAAACTTCTCAGCAAAAAGACCAAACTAAAAGTATGATATCAAATGCAAAAACTGCAAGTCAAATTCAAAATATTGTCAGGATGATGATGGGTAGACACTACAAGACCGAACAATGAAATAATTAACAGATATGATACAGGTAAACTTCATCTCAATATGGCTCATTCAGCTGCCAAATTTTCATACTGCCACGGGTTGAATTCCATCGATTGGATGTCACTCTCTTCAATGCTATCTGAATTATCTTTAGCAGCCCGATGTTCAGTATACTTCCCATTGTACTGATACACTTCTAAGTCCCCCCAAGGAGTAGGGTGAATCTCATCAGTTTGGTCAAACCATCTTGGAGTAAACTGTTGACCCTTAGCCTCTCGGTTTCGCTTCTCAGCTCTCTGTCTCTCCTCCAGACTAAAAACAAGGCAAAACACAATAATGGTATAAATTCCCCTTTTCAGCTCTCAAAATGAAGTCAATAAAGAGCATTATCCATATATCTAAAAGATTTCCACTGGATGAGCATATAATGAGCCTTTCCAGATTCAATTTTACACAGTTAACAAGCAACACTGTTGGCATCCACTAATCCTAATTTCCACATGTTTAAGACATGCACACATACAAAAACATAGAGAAGGGTGAGATGGAACCTGCTCTTCTCATAGCCAGCCTTGGATAGATCACCATGTTCAAGCCCATATCTGTCAGGACGTAAACGGGAATCTGATGCCAATAACTTCTTTGGAGCCGTATCAAAGCTGTTCAGCTTGTGTGCAAAATATGTATACTGGAATTTATCATTCTTTGGAGCCTCTGCAACCCTCCATACCTGCTCATTACTCCACCCAGAAATAGTGAAAAGCTATAATAACACTTCAATACCATGACATATTAAAGTGGTTTAAAGACAACTTAAAACTAATAAAAAGACTAAGTTACCACTGAAATTAAAATGTAGAAGAATAAATAATTAATTTTTAGAACAAGAAGGTTAATTCGCTTCTCAAAACAAGAGGGACTAATTTATAATTTACTCATTTTTTTAAAAAATAAGTCACAAATCCTTTCAGTTAACGGAAAAACCTGCAAATTAACTAATAAAAGCAATTTCTTGGAAAAAAAAAAAAAGAATTATTGTACAAGAAAATCCAGGTTATCAATAAATATAAGAAACTTAAACAAGGAATGACGACAATTTTTCCATGCAAAGAAATTCCCTTGTCAATAAATAGAATTATTTTTATCATGACATTTTTATACTTTTAAGGCAAGGTCTATAGAAATTAAGCTGCAAGAAAAGTCTAGGACAGAAGATCCATCTCAGCAAATTTATTGAAATCTGAGAAGTGCTACTGTTTGTGGAATAATTTCACATTGCCATCCAAAAAGAGACGTGAATTCATCATCTAGCTCACAGGTTTTTGTTGAGCTTTTCACAAAATAATGCATTATCTTAAGCATGCCAGGTGAGTGCAGAAGCTATTCAATTTGTGTCAGCACATTTGAATTCAGGTAGCTGCTAACTTGCCCAAAAAGCTTTTTGGGCAGGCAACATGACAATTTTCTTTTCTTTTATTTTCTTTTTTTTAAAAAAAAAGCTTATGTTTGGATTTATTCTTTCAAGCTAAAATATGTGAACTTTATGTTTTCTATCAATTCCCCGTCATTTTCAGAACAGAAAAATCCATCTTCTGTTTTGCAATAGAACGAAAACAAAAAGGCAAAATCAATTGACGCCACAGTACTAAAGTCATTCAGAAATGGGTGTGATGTTTTGATAGTCCACACAAATTGCTCCATTTTGTTATTTGCAGGATGTCAACGAAGGAAGAAAAGAAAGGAATGAGAAAGAGATGCATGAGAGTGAATAGAATATGACCATGTTCTACATAGATCAAGCAGAATTAAGGCTCAAAATTACACATACTAAAATTTGGAATTCAAAATTGTCTAATTATTACAACAAATTAACTACACTAATTCTAGCTTTTCCTTTTAATATCAGAATCAAGTGGCTTGACATGTACATACTCAATTTTTAAAAAAATATATATGTGGAAAAATATATGTCCATTAAAAATTGGCATATTGCTATCCTGCCCAAAAGGTGAGAAGTTAGTGAAATATATATACTAGTTAAGGACCCAAGCATTTCTTTGGGCACTACTTTTCTATTCCATAAACTGGTATAACTCAAAAGAACAGAATTTTTTGTTGGAAATTCTATATGATTAAAAAAGAGAGTGATAGAGAGAGAGAGAAAAGACATGTTTTGATTCTTTGTAATAATCACTGCAAACTTTGATAATTACCATAGATTGAGTTGCCTTCTTTAGAGATTATTCTTTTTTTCTTTTCATGATATTTTTAGTTGTTAATATCATTGAGGCTGCATATTAATTTGAGAAGAAAACCATTTTTAAAACTATAATCATGTAATAATTTTGTAAACAAACAGTAATTTAAGCATAGATTATTTAAAATGTAAAAATAAAAGTTGAAGAGACATAATTTAAGCATTTAAAGTGTTAGAACAAGGCAACTGCATGAAAGGCAATAACTTCAGGATAATCACCTATGAGATATCATAATATGGTAGGAACCTAACTAATTGAAGAAGAGAATTTTCAGGGAGGAAAAACAATTGCAGTATCGAGCCACCATAAATGATTTGAAACATCCAACAATTTACAGTCCCTTATTATTAAAAGGAATCTCGATTGGATTTAATTATGAGCTTTAATGCATTCATGATATCCTATTTTCTCCAGATATATTTAAGATCAATAACAAAATTTCATTCGTTTTTATTTTTATTTTGATTTTAATCTTTTAATGGTTCAACATTAGAGAGAGAGATTAGGACAAGGACAAAAAAGTTAGAATTTACTGACAGGTAAATACCTGTAAAGTATTAAAAGATTCCCTTTGACAATTACATACACATCAAAGCAAAGACATTTTTGAAATTGCATAAACAAAGATAAACCATCTCCATAAGAATTAAAAATAATAATATGTAGAATAAATAATAATCTGTAGAATAAGTAATCAACCACCAGGAAATGCGAGACAGCGATGAGCATACCTAACTATCAGATAACAATGAAGAAAGATATGGTCTAAAGACAGAATCAATCAGCTACTCATGATCTTAGCACCACATATTACAGAACCTAAGTAAACAGGTTGTGATACACGGGAACAGGGTGCACAATAACCAAAAGGAATTCATATTTAAAAAATTAGAAAAACGCAAAAACAACACCAACCTCCTTTAGTTCAGTGCCTGAACGTGGCTCTCCTTCCATGTCACAAGGTTGATAATTCATTGATTCATTCCATTTCCCTGTCATCAATATCTGGGGCTCCTCAGCAGAGTTGTATACATATCCATCTACCTCATAGCGACCAGCTCTGCAAATGTTTTCTAGAGTTAAAAATAATTTACAGAATGATTTAGATTTATAAATAATATGCTGCTAATAATCTCATTGAATGTGAAATTGAGCTTTTTTAGACAAGATCCATCAGCCTAAAACAGATACTCTGTACAGTTTAGACATGCTTTAAAGGTATTTTAATTTGGCATTTCTATATTAGTATTTACACACAAAATTCAACAAAGGAATACCATAACCATATGAAGATTTCAACCATGCTAAATGGACTTAATAAGATCCACATAGTTGCTGCCTCAAAAAGGCACCTGCACGAATGGAGGTAAACTAAGTGGGAGGTATAGCATTTGCTAGTTGGTTCAGCAACTTATAAGAAAAGAGCTGTCCCCAACAGAATGGTATTACCAGAATCAGCTAGCATGCAACCAAATCATAGATGTTCCTGCAGAAGAATCTAACACTATCTGAAAGGTGGAATAATCATACCCAAACCAACCACATGGTTGAAAATATAGTACAACTTTGTCCCCTGTTGTCATGTTTGTCAGGACCATCTCCCCTGGTGAATCAATCCAAGTTCGTCCAAAGATTAAGTTACTAACTTTCGTGGGAGGAGGCACCAAATCAAGAACTACACAATCCCTTTTAAGTGTCACACGTGTTCTGCATCCACATTGCAAAAGTATGGTCAAATACATTTATATAGTTACTCTAAAAGAACTAAATTCTGGGTAAAACTAGTTACAGGCAATAATCAGACTGAAAGCATCTTAAAAGAGCTGTCCCAGATGAGAAGTGGTAAGGAAAACAATGCAACTTTACTAGGAAGGAATCTTTGGTGACATTAAGATACTTGGTTAGAGTTCCAAGCCGTGAAATAGTTGGGGTGAGAGTTCCAACCCACATTAGAGGTGCATACGGATGAAACAATCATCAAGTTTGAAACTCTTTATGCCTCTGATATTGTCACATTGCACATGAAGTCTTTCAAAAAAAAAAAAATTGATATAAAACCATTGTTATGCGATTTTAATTTGTTATGCGATTTTAAAGGTAAGTCATATAAATCGATTGTTATGTAACCAAAAAAGGAAAGAAAGAAAGAAAATAAAACCATGTTTTCTAGTTTGGAAAAATTGATAGTACAGTTTTGGAACCAAAAAGTAAAGCCATTATATTTCGAAAAATTAATAGAGCCATTGATTTTTATTTTGAAAGATTAATAGTACATAAGCAAATTTTATACTTTTTTCATGAAATATGCAAATAAAAAAATAAGAAAACTAAAATTTCTTTCCAGAAACGTATCCCTAGACACCTCCTATCAACCATATAATTTTCCAAATGACAATGCAATGCTATTAAATGTCTCCTTGGTGCATGCAGACAAAGCAGGAAGAGGACATGAGGGGGAAAGTTAGCCGGTTCAGACTACATACCTCTGAGCTAAGAGGTTAATACAAACGTTACTGTGTTACTTTAAAAAATATATACATTTGTGATCGAGGTGTCTGCATGTTGCCCCTTCACCCTTGATTTCTTAAGGGAAAAAAAAATCCTATAAGAAGAAGAATAATCTTTTATTTTCAAGATTACAATTTTACATTTACCTTATAGATTTTAAAATTTTCTACAAGTAAATAATAATGATAATACTAATTTTTAAAAAAAATAAAAAAAAATCTTTTCTGAACAAAATATATCAAGAACAGTACAAAACACAAGCAGCATCTTCCTTGGAATGAAACAGCTCAAATTTCAAATTAGCAACAAATAAATAAAAATAAAGATATTCACTAAATTGATTCCAAAGTTCTAGAATAGCATGCCAAAGGAGACTACAAAATCACAGATGTTTTTACCTTCCAAGAGGATAGATCTCAATTGAGTTCCCTAAAAATTTAGTTTTGACCTTGGAAGTAATATCATAAGTGAAATGCTCATTTTCAGCATGTCCAGCACTTATTGGCGGATGATGGCTAACCTGTGAGAAAAGATGAATCACAATGAATTGAAAATTTGCCACCATATAAGTAAATTCAAATTTAAAGACCAAAGAAATGAAGGACGGGAAACCAGTAATTTGACAGTTATCGTGTTAGAAGATAAATCTCTAGCCACTAAACTTTTCACAAATATCTCACCTGTTCTGATATAAACGTAAGGCCTCCATGATTAGTCAATTCATAAGTCTCACCAAGAATAGGATTAAATGGCTTCCATGTGCGTTGATAGGCATAGTATACAGATATGAAAAAAGACGCTGCAGTCAGCCACACCATCAGCCTCACACCAAAAAATGCATGGAGGGAGAGAGAGGGGGGAAGGAGAGAAAGGGAGAACTCATACCAGCATACACCAAACGCATGTAGGGATCCTCACATTCATCTGCAAGATCTAACAGGTGCGAGTACTCCATCAACTGTGACCATAATACTCTTAGTCTCTTCATAAATTACATACGATAAATGTTACAAGTAATAGCCTAATAAAGCAAACCTCTGCCATTTTCTGCAGCATTGACATTGGCTCAAAAATAAGTACAGGAAGTGTCACCATAGATGTAACATCAGATCCTATGTACTTTTGCATCATCTTCCAATGACTGTCCCGATCCTTGAGAAAAACAAGAAAACAACAAATGAATACACTTACAAGCATATGTTTCTCCAATTAATTGTATGGGAATACTAAATCAATTTATTCCACCGAACACAAAAGGCATCTTCTTGCTACTGTAGGGTTCATTTAAGCAATCTATGAAGCTATAATACGAGTTTCTAAAGAGAATATCATTTCTATCTTGCTATACTTGACATGAACTGGATATAACTTTGCAGCAGGAGCCATAGGATAAAGCCAATAGAGCTTTAACTACGTGCAAGCTAAATTGATCTAATATGTCGGACTAGAATTCAAAATTATATTCAATTTTAGAACATCAAAGTCTTGCCCCTACTAGAAGCATGTAGAGTTTCAGTTTGCACAGCTGATCTTTAAGATAATGTTTAATAAGAACATGCTCCCTGTAGTGCTAATCAAGAATTGTGAACCATGTGAAACAAGACTTGAGCTGAAGTGTCTTTTATTCTTTCCTTCGCACCATCATGATGTCCCAAACTGATTTGAAGTCAGAACTCATCTTACAGATGCACAGAATTGCATGAACTTATGCATTAAAATGCTGATCAGATGCACTACTGCCCAGAATATTGTCAGAAAAAACCCAGTATCATGTTTCAAATCCATCAACCCTATTCATATGATTGAACCGCGTTCCTAAACTAACTTTTGTTCTTCATTACGCACAAAACACAGAACGGTGGTGTACCTCTTGTTTCCATCTTCCTTTACTTGCTTCCTCTTCAGCATCTTCTGTGCCTCCTTCAGGATTAATGACTTCCAGTCCTTCATATGCCACTAAACTGCAACAAAGAAAACCAGCCAAGCTTGTCAACAACCAATCTAAACCACGAAACTGTTGAAATTATCAAAAATATCCTCTCTGCCTGGCTTTCGGGACATATGGACAAGTGCAAAAATGTGCAATTCCCAGAACTTATGCAATACTAATCTTGCCAGCTTCAGCAATCAGCATGATAGGTGCTTAACAATAAAATTAAACTAAGTTCGCACATCGTTAGGGATCAAAATTCGAAACGCATCTCAAAGATATAAAGCATGCTGATACGGATCATTCAAAAAGCTCTATCATAAATTAAATCACTAACTATCTTACAAATATAAGTAAAAAAAAATGATTTGATTTCAATTCCAGGCAAAACAATTAAGGAAAGAAACAAATCAACAATAAATCATGTTTACACAAAGGCACTAAACTAGAATATAATTAAATCGGGAGATGAATCATTTGTAACCGAATCCAAATCCATAAGCAACAAAAATTAAAAACTGGAGATTCAAAACGGAAAAAAAAAAAACAAAGAAAAAGAAATGGATCTGGATACCCGTTGACTGATCTGGTCATGGCTGTACCAAAATTGGACAAACTGGAAGCGATCGAAGAGAAGAAGCCACCACCGCTACCGCTAGCGCTTTGTTTGGGATCATTAGGAGGAGCCATTTCCGTGGAAACCCTAGGAAACAGAAGGCAAGATACCAGTAGAGAAAGAGAGAATCGATGACGATGATGTTCTACGAGATTTGTTTTTATGAATGATAAAATAATAGTAAATAAAAATAAGACACTACTGCTGTTTGAAAATTTTTTTATTTTATTAATATTGAATGCGACAGCAATGAATAGCAAAGATGGACAGAAAGATGATTCGGCTGGCTGGCTGGCGCTTAATTGGTTTCAAGTCTTGAAAAGAGATTTTTTCGTGCTAAATCAAAAGTAGTGATGGAAGGATGCTCTCATTTATAAATAAATTATGATCTACCAATCCACGCGTTTATCCAGAGCGTGGGTTCTTAACACTAACTATTACCAGTACTAATCAAGTTTTAAGCAAACCTCAAAAAGTCCCCCAACTATATAATTATCTCGATTTAGTTTCAAAAACAAACTTTTATCTCAATTAGATCTCATATTTCAGAAATTCTTAATTGAGGCTCTCCAACCGTACTAATTAACAAAAAAAAAAGAAACAATATCATTACATCAAAAAATTAATCCCTTTTTTTTCCTTGAAAATTTGTGAAGAATTTGGACAAAAAACTTTATTGAGGACTTTTAGAATTTAATTTAGAAATAAGGTTTCTAGACTATTTTTTCAAAAGGTAATAAAAATAGTGTTTGGCAAAATTTTGAAAGTAATATTAGATATCATTTGAAAATTTATTTAATTCTTATTTAATATAAAAAGCTTTTAACATTTTGCATTATCCAATACTTTTACAACTATAGCTTATACTTAAAATAACCACAATTAATAGCCCTAATCATAGCCAAAAAAAAAAAAAATCATAACTAAAAACCACAACTACATAGTAAATGAATCCCTAATAATTTGGGGTTTGAGAGAAAAACATATTTAGGGATTGAGTCAAGATAAGGTTCATAAATGAGAGATGTTTTCCTAGTTTTCCCTAAAGCTTTTATTATTACGATTATTATTATTATTATTATCACCGGATGAGAAAATCCCATTTCCAAATAGGTGGCTTTAACATTGGCCAAAAACGCACAAGTTGCCTACCGAGCTATCTAACATGGTTTTGTTCTTTCTTCACCGTGTTTAAAAACGTACATAAGTACATGGGCCTCATTTAGATCGTCAACTTTTGGTCGTGCTTGTGGAATAACATAAACGTCATATGGTAGGCACGTGGACGGATATTTTCGGATTCGAGCATTTGTACAATTGTACCATTGATTAGAACTAACAAGAGGGTGCACGAGCTGCGTTATATATGATGGGGTGATGCGTTGTTATTATTATTATTGTTATAAAAAAATGATAATAATAATAGAATTGAAGAGAAAAATGATGAAGAAATGATTTAACTATAAAATAAAAAGAATAAAAAAGATAACAACTCTAAACAATTCTTTTAATCTCTATAAAATGCTTATATATCAACTAATGAACAATCAAACCTATTTATAGGCTTCAAGATTAAGAAGAGAATTGAAAAAGGCTATAAACTATTAAAAGATGCATGAATTGCATCGACCTTTCAATTTTTCATATTGAATAGTGAATTGAATCATATTAAGAATAATGGACGAGTGGGAGTATGAAATGGTCATGGACATTCATTATTTCATAACACTCCTTCTTGAGTGTTTATCGTACAAGGAACATGCCTCGTTAAAACCTTGTTAGGAAAAAATCCAATGGAAAAAAATCCTAGCGAAGGAAAAAGAGTACAATATTTTTTATACACATTAATCTCAATCTTGGCCTTTGGCCTCCCTTTGTTGAAAACTTCATTTGAGATCTTTAAGATGATGTATTTCAATCTTGTGAATCATCTTCTCAAAAGTTGTGATAGGTAATACCTTAGTGAACAAATCTGTTGGGTTGTCACTTGATCGAATTCTTCCTTTAATGAAATTATACAAACAACATTATATTTATATGATATTATTAGAGCTTCTTTTGCTAGTAGATAAACTCCATGTCTCTCGTATATGATGGATGATTGATCTTAGCAAACACATTCTCAACTTAGCCTCATGAATTGGTATTTTCGCATGATTTGAATATTTAGTTGCTATAGTTTGCTTCATAGAACGTCATGATATAGTCGTATCACCAAGTATAAATACATAACCCATTTATGATCGAGTTTTGTATAGATCGGATAGATAATTTGTATCTACATAGCCAATTAAACCTAACTTTGATTTATTTGAGTAAAATAAATATCATATCAAATTTTTCTAGAAGATAACATAGGAAATGTTTAATCCCATTTCAATCTCTATATTAGAGTAGAACTATGACTTGGTGAGATGTAATATTATGGTCATTACAATTATAATGATAATTATTCCGATCACGTTCATGGCTATAACCACATCTTTCGTCCATATCTAAAATTATTATAAATTATCATATTCACTTCGGGAATGGAGTAGATTAATTGGATGAGATTTATTCTTTTTATCAATAACTTGTCATTTTATTTAGCCATGAGTAAATATGAAATCAATTCAGAATATTACTTAAACTCATTTTTTTTATATGCTACCGTAGGATCATATTCGAAACATGAAAAGTAGAGAATATTTACTCGGCATCAAACATTCATGATCAATAATTCTTGCCCAAAATGTTAAGGGCCACAAAATAAAGTTTTGTGAGGTTTGATATCATACAAATTATATAATGCAAAGTATAATAATAATATTAAGAAATAAAAATAAAATAAAATGATTAAATTTAGATTTAAAAAAAAAACATAAAATTTAAAAATTTCAAACAATATATATTAGATAATTGGATTCTATCTATTAAATCCTTTAAGTTTTTAACGTTTTTCATGTCGAAGTTCATTTTCCTCTTTTGGGTGTACCTCGCTAAATGCCCGATTCAACCCTCTTTTAAACCGTCTTTAATGAAAACCATAAAAACAACTAGACATATTCTATCTAAAAACCTCGGAAAGAGTATAGCCCTCTTATTCTCTTTGAACATATCTAGCCATAAGCCTTTTTTGAAAACATACACATGACCTTTTCTTGAATGCTTAAAATCATGATAAAACATTTTCATAACATAGACGTAATTTAAATAAAACTCTCAAGTAAGCACATGAATATATAACCAAGTATCATCAAACCTAATCATAAACTCGAATCTATTAAGCAACATCACAAGTGTTCAATCACTAAATAATCATATGAACACATAACCAAGTAACATTAAGTAAACTACATAAATCTAAAACCATCAAACTATATCTCCAATGTTCAATAATTAAATAAACATATAAACATAAACTAATCATCATCAAGTAAACACATAAACCCAAAACTATCAAGTAACCTTATAAGTGTTCAATCATCAATAAACATATGGACACAAAACTAAGTAACTTCAAGTAAGCACTTAACCTAAAAACATTTAGTAATATCACAAGTATTCAATCATCAAGGAACCACATAAACACAACAATCTTAGAAATTTTATGACTCATGGTAAGTTATGATTACACTTACTAGTTATCAAGTAAGCACATCATCACCTAAAGTCCAAACATCAAGTAAGCTCATCATTACAAGTATTCAATCATTAAGTAAACACATAAGCACCTCAATCTATAAACACTTCAATCTTATAACATATATGAGTTGAGATGAGAGTATACTTTGAAGGATCATGCATCCTATGGAGGTGCGGAATAAAATAAAAATGTTCGTCCATCTAAGGCTCTCAAGATCAAGTCATTGAATCAACTAATCATACATATATAAATTAAAAGCATAAGTAAAAAATTACCTCTTATAGCTCAAATTTAGCCTTTGTAAAAAAGAGTAATCTACGTGTCCGACCTCGATCAATAATCTACACAACTTAAACACCCATAAAAAGAAGCTATAGAAATTATAAAGTGCTAGCTCCAATCCTCTTGAATAGTTGATTTCCCTCTAAAAATCCTATAGGGTAATTTATGCCAACTTTTGGTTTTTTTTGTGGAGAAGTGCAGCGAACTAGAGTTTTTTGGGAGAAAACACTTTTTTCTCTAATTTTTGCTTATGCCATGTATGCCTTTTTTCAACCCCTATTTTACTATGACTTGCCCTTAATTTTTCTTCTTCCTTTGCAACATCTCTCTTCCCTTATTTAATGAGAGTTGTTTTCTTATCCTCCAAGGATAAAGAAGTGGTGACAACAAGTCCTACATAGACTCTAAGTTAGGACTTCCTAGTCCTTCAAAGACTATGCGTTACAATGTATATGGGCTTGTTTAGATATTATACTTATAAAGTTTGATCCTTATCCAATAAGATTCATATTTATCCTTTAATTAAAATATTTTACAAGCGTTTAAATTAAGCCTATTAGCCTAATTAGTTACCAATTAATTTGGACTATCTAAATAAATTGAGTTACATATTCTTAGGAAGCCTACATTAAGAAGCAATTTTCTAAATTACCCTTAAACTTAAATTAGGAAACTAATTTTTTTAGGTAATTTACTTCCAAATTAGGAAATTGATTTCTTAAATAGGAAACTTTTGATTTTATGAAACTTTTTATTTTTAGAAACCTTTTCCAAGATAGGAAACTTTCAAAACTCGAACTTTTTTTTTAAATCTTTGCTTCTCTTTTGTCATGTGAGTGTTTAAACTTATACGTATGACACAATAGGCTTCAAAATATGTTAGCAATGTATTAAGAATAAAAGACACCTCTTTTATCTTTCGATGCATAAATCGAGATTGGCCTCTAGTAAGGCATCATGATTATCTAATTCTCTAGAAGGATTAATTAGTCCGTAATTATCTTTTACGAGCATAGTTACCATACAATTTAGTCCTCATATCAATTTATCACGAGTGTGATCTCAAACTTAGTTTATAGTCCGTTTGATTATGATCACATAAGTTTTTTTCGATTCTCAAATGTCTTAGCTCTAGAGTAAACCAACTATGCTCTATTGGTTTTC